AACCTATTTAAAAAATGAAGCACATAGTCATAGGGGTTTATTTTAATATAGCTGAAAGCAAAGACAGTAGGTGTTAATAACCAAGATGTGAATAAGTCAGTTAAGAATATCTATTTATATTAAATAGTAACCATGAGTACTGGTCCTATATGCACATATTTTAGAATTAAGAAATTGTTAAAGAAGAATTTACACCACTTTCATATTTATGTGTAGTTTCATATTTAACCAGTCAGTGCTAAACCAAGTGACTGAAGGTTGAAGTCAGTCAGACTCCAAGGAAATATATTTACTGTGGATAATTACAATGAACAAATCCTAAAAGAAATATAATTTACCGTTCAACTACAGGGTGTCCATGGGAAGAACTTGACATTTTACTTTATGATGCCACGTGGTGCGTAATAGTTTTCACTGTTTGCACAATCCACGATGATTCATATACATAACAAACAGGGTTTCAGTGCATCTCCCACTGGTCAACGAGGCTTTACAAAGAGGTTTGTCTTTACACTGTTGACCTGACAAACACTTGATCCTAAAGTTAATATTAAGGCAATTACTGAGGTTGTCAAATGGTATCCACTGTACTTTTATTTACTGTTCAATAAGGTGACAAAACTGGAATCATTTCCTGGATTCTACTCTCCTGTTTTCTCCTCTAATATATGTTTATTATAAGTTTTTTCTTGATTCCACATCTGAGGAAGACTGAAACGAAATCCTGCATCCTGAGTTTTTTCCGACAATTAAACAGCCTTCAAAAATTCCTCAATATATCGTTGAGCCTATAGTATTGGAGTATATCACAATATATCGTACTGTTGCTCCTGTATCGTGATGCGTATCGTATCGCCAGATTCTTGCCAATACACAGCCCTACCATTAGCACATTAGCAAAGCAAGTAGTTGATCTTTGCTTTAGAGGACTCACCCAGGGACACACTTGCATGTAGACCAGCGTAGACTGGCACAAAAGCCTCCCCATTACATATGGGAGACGACCTACTCTGTCCTGACATTGTTTGTGGCTCCTTGCGTGCTCAGCGTCCAACGCCAAAGGCACACGTATCTGGTGTCATTGTGCAGGGTAATAAATAACAACACTCACAGTGACAGTGATACAAAATGTGCTGTGGGATTTAAATTTAGACGTGTGTTAGAGGTGGAGGGGCACAATACTGCAGTGCATCGACAAGTCAGAAAGCCTGGTCAACACTTTTTAAATGAAGTTACCAACAGTGGCGCTGCAGCCAAAGGTTAGGACACTGAATATTCCGCTAATTGGTTTGTTTGTGTAAATATTTCAAATTTAACTCTGGTTCAAACAAGCTAGAAAGTACAATATTTATTTCAATATACAGTAAACTGAAATTGTTTTGTGTGTTCACCACAAGTGAAGGCTAGTAATGCTTCTCTGTTTCTCCTTTGTTTAAAGACTTGTTAGCTTCAAACATGGCATTAGTCAACGTGCAACAGAAAAAACTTGTTTTTCGATAAAACACAATTCTCCACATCCAGGCTCATCAGTAAGCCTTAGTGCAAACAAGCCAAGTTACATCAGTGATGAAAATACTAATACAGTCTGAGAGTTAAAGCAGTTTCCAATTTGTTGTGCATAAATTCAGCGTCCTATCAGCTTCAAGGTGACCTGAGCCAGGACATCACCCCAAAGTGCTTCATTGCAGAATCATTTTAATTTTCTGTGTGTTGCCCTGCATCCAGACGCAGTCAGTGAGTTATGAGCTCTCTGACCTGATGACAAAGCACGACTGCTTCCTGATGGTTCGGTCAATAAATAGACAGGGTCGAAAAATACGCGCTCATCAGGCTATCACCGTCGCTGCATGGTTCTCACAGAGACCGGGTCCCCTTCATTTACAGAGTGATTTAAAAAAAAAAAAACAGGTGTCAAGGTTACGTGTTGGAAAATGCTCAGCAAACAGGTTCCAACCAGGTGACACCACCCCACCAAACTGACACATCAGGAAAGTTCACTGAAGCGTTACAATTCGTTTGAATTCATTATCAGAGATCTAATTCGTAAGAATAAAAATACTTTTTTTCATTTGTTTACTTTAAACATGAGAAACTAAATATATGGTTGAGTAGAAAAGCTTTCATCCACAATAGCAAATGTCTCCAATAAGTTACAGGTGATTAAGAAACAGCCTGGAGAGTTCAAGGTTTAGGTTTGAAGACAAAGAAAAACAAAATGCTTTTCATATCAGTTGTAGTAGCAGCAGGATATAAGCAGTGTTTCATATTTAACTTGGTAGACGTTAGATTATTAGTGATAAAAACATTTTTCTATAATAAAATGGCACTGCAGTATTGGACAGTTTTTAATTGTACACATCTCTCATCTTTTCATGTTATATGCAAAAATATGCAGATGGCTGCCCCTGTGGCTGATGTCTCATATTTGAGACTAGTGTTTCATGCATACAATCTAAAAGAAGTAAAAAAAGGGAACTGAATGTTAAATTAAATTATATTATAAAGAAAGACTTATCTTAATACATTTGTTGTATGTCTTGTAATTTTTTAAAAAAAGTTAGTTTCATAAGACATAGTAATGGGGACAACAAAGATGGAGACGCATCAAATGTAATTAATTAGCAGCAACATTATTGACATCCTAATGTTAGAGGTAATAAATAACAGCCTGTCAAAACATGTTTTTCTTTCTTAGAAAAAGAAAATAAATAAATAAAACAGACGACATTTTATTGTGTTATAATTTGTTGGGGTTTTTTGTGAATTTTAGTGAAACTTATATACCTTTAAAATGATTCAAAACAACCGACGGATGAACAGCTGATTTACCATTAACCAGGACTTTCAGCTCCAGGTTCACACACACTGATCAATGGGCTGTTTGTGTGTAGTTAACGAAGTGACAGATAAACACCCAAACGTCATCAGCTCAGCTGTCAGAGCTGTGTCATCTTTCTGGAGGCTTCTACACAGTATCACACTTGTTCCAGCTACACCAGAGGGTCATGTTCAAGATAGCAAGTCGTTAGCTTTTAGCCTACAAACAATGTTCACGCACTGTTTAAACCGCTGGGAAACAGCGACGAGCTTGAAAAAACATTCACAATACATAGTGCACTTTAGAAGTATTTTGGTAAATGTGAGGTTTTTTTCTCCACATTATGTTGCTACCTGAAGCCCACAGTAGTGCTGTAGCAGCATTAGCTTCAGTGTATGTCAGGGGTAAATACTCACAGCGTGTGGCCGCACACGTTCACCATCAGCTTCAGTGACGGGTTCCTGTATTTCGTTGTTTTACATCTCGGACAGCCCTGGTCGTCCATCTCTTACTGATAAAAATACAAGCAACGGGGACAAGTTAAACTTATAACACTTAACTGCTTTACTCTCACAGGCTCAGGCTGCGTTACATGCAAAGTTGTCCGACCGGAAACTACGAACATGAGAAGTGTTCCCCTCAACAGCGGTGGACGAGCCGTGAACGAAGCAGAACTTTAAAGACGTCACAGTTTGGTCTTTCATGCTCGTTTTACACGAAATTAATTCTTAACGTGGTGAATTAAATGAGACATTCTTTCAGTGTTCCTGTTCCTTTTATACCTTGATATTTACTTATGTTGACCTGAAGCAGTATTAAAAGAAAAACATATATATATCTATAACAGATGTTGATCCTCAGGCAGTCCGGAATTCATTCATGTTGTTTCTTGTTGAATGTGACTTGGTCTGGGGGAAACGTTTAACTTTAAATGATGCATGGCTAGACTGTACACTGTGATAAATGAATTTACATTCACAATAAATAATGAAAACAGAACAAGTCCTTTACAAAACTGAAGAGATCTTTCCTACAGCTCAACTCTTTTCCAGTCGATCACAGGGCCACATATGGAGACAAACAATGGTTCACACTAACATTCACACCTATGATCAACTGAGGTTAATTTCTCTGGCTGCTGTAGTCGGGGTATCGACCCAGCGATCAAACCAGTGACCAAATCATCAAAACTGATGAACTTCTTGTTGTAAATCAATGGCACTGGTTATAAAATGTGTAAAAACATCTTATGTCCTGTTATGTCATGTTGCTGGACTGTGAGGGAAAATGAATATTTGACCAAATCTACACAGCAGGACTATCAATTACCACTGGGAATCAAACCAGTGATCTTCCTGTTGTAAGGCAAGAACACTCACCCGTCTTCTACCGTGTGGCCCCTGAGGCTGATGGAGGCATTGAACCAGAACAGTATGGTAAACAGACTGGAGGAGGCCACTTCCTTGTGCTTTTATGCAAATCATCCTGACTCACCAACAACCCAGGACTTGAAGGACCAGCTTAGGATCTGAGTCTAAACAGTGTAGATTTCAGGATAGGCTAAAAAAAAAATGAAGGCAAAGCTATTTACCAATATACATGCATTCATAATGGGAGCAAAGGTATAGTATTTGACATATTTAATAAGCCTAAAAAAAAAAATTGCATGCAGATTTACTTTATCCACTATGTGGCGCTAAAACGAGACTTTTTTTTCAATAATGAGGATGATTCTGCGGAATGATTTCAATAGTTAAACAATGTTATGAATAATAAAAAGGAACTCCAACAAAGGTAGTTTCTGTTGAAGTCCAGTCATTAGGAAGCCTCCACAGCCTCCTCAGCCCAGGGGAGCAGACGTACGAGTATTAGCCGACTAAAAGCCCAGGCCTGTGTCTTATAGGCCTATTGATTTATTGACAGTGTGTGTGACTGTCAGTAACAGTAAAGTCAGGCTCCGTGGTTTTAAGACAAACTAGGAAACTAATCTTCAGTTAGAGTACAGATACAAGTTGGTTTTTTATAAAAAAAAAAAAAAAAACCTAGCAGACAGATATCTCACTTCAACACAATGTTTTTATATGAATCTAAAACAGATGGTTGGTTTGGTGGGAAATGGTGAAAATAATATACAGAGCTAATTCTAGGACTCCATGGGAGACAAATATGAAACATGCTGAAACATGAGATGAACTGACAACGTGTCTTCATAAAGAAATACTTTCCCTCCATCTATTACACAGTTACGGATCGAATATGAGATTATGTTATATATTGGCTTTTAATATATATGTACATGTGGTTTACGTTACGTATTTGAGGGGAGTCATATTGAACTAATTTGTTGAAGGGGTCAAAAAATAAAGTTCTAGAAAAATAGGCCAAGATGTGAGACAAATAAAAACGTCAAAAATGTTGTTTTTAGAAATTACTTCTTACTAGATCATACATTATAGAAAACATGAAAATGTAGAGTACAGTAAAAAATATAAGAAGATATACCATAGTACAAAAATGTAAGAAATATCATCAATATCATATTTTAAATTCTTATTAAAATAATTGATCAATCATGAAGGAATAATCACTGTAAATAATCACAGTAAACATTGGTTTGAACAAGAAGTACTTTCACTGAAGGACCGTAGTATTTTACAGATACTCTCAGCTGTTAATATTCTACTCTATGTAACCAATATTGTTTTACTCCCAGGTTTTATGGGGGATTATTCGAAAGTCAAAAACATTATACATCAGGATACACAAACGTCAGTTTTTCCTATATGATTCCACCGCTGAACCTCCATGGAAATAGAGGGTAAAGGGAGTGGGGGGCTGGAGGGGGGGGGTACTTAGGTATTTATCTGCTTCAAAATCGTGGCAGCTTCTCATACAGACAGCAGGGATATCCCGTTCTCACGATCCCACACACATACACACACACACACACACACTCACCTTGCACAGGTGAGTTACGGGAATATACTGGAAGTGCATGAGTGACAGCTGGAGAGCAAACATTCGAGTCTGAATCGGCTTGCTCCTCCCTTGTGGCTCCATCGGCGGCCAATAGCGTGGCTCTCCCGCAGATAGACCCCAGTGCGTCTCCTTCCAGCCCCAGTCCCCGCAGAGTAAAAGTCACGTTGGAAGGAAAAGGGGAGAGAGGTGTCTACTTACAGCTGCTGTCAGATATCCGATCGCATTCGCATGGCGAGGAGGTAACCTGATCAAGCTGGGAGGAGTGACTTTACCACAGGGAAGGCTTGAACAAAAAAATGTCTTCTTCTTCTGCCGGAGAAGTCACAGCAGCAAATGACATCAAGAGGGAAAATGTGAAGGAGCTGAATGAGAGGGAGAGCATCAAGTTTGTGGCCCTGGACGCGGCGGAGTTGTCCATGGAGCGCGCGACTCCCAGCGCAGACGCGGTGCGCACGGAGCTGCTGGTGAGCGCCGCGTCCTCTTTGGCTTTCTCCCCGGAGCAAGTGGCGTGCGTGTGCGAGGCTCTGCAGCAGGGAGGCAATGTGGACCGGCTGGCCAGGTTCCTGTGGTCCCTGCCACAGAGCGACCTGCTCCGCGGCAACGAAAGCATCCTGAAAGCGCAAGCCCTCGTCGCTTTCCACCAGGCGCGGTACCAGGAGCTGTACAGCATTCTGGAGAACCACAGCTTCAGTCCGTCCAACCACACCGTCCTGCAGGATCTGTGGTACAAGGCCCGGTACACCGAGGCGGAGAAGGCGCGGGGGAGACCCCTGGGCGCCGTGGACAAGTACCGGATCCGGAGAAAGTACCCGCTCCCCAGGACTATCTGGGACGGAGAGGAGACCGTGTATTGTTTTAAGGAGAGGTCCCGGAACGCGCTGAAGGATCTGTATAATCAGAATAGGTATCCGTCTCCGGCCGAGAAGAGAAACCTGGCCAAGATCACTGGACTCTCCTTGACCCAGGTCAGCAACTGGTTCAAGAACAGACGGCAGAGGGACAGAAACCCGTCCGAGGCGCAATCGAAAAGGTGAGAAAACTACGAAGGGAATTACAATCTCAATGTCAATCCGAAATTTTAACACCTTCCACTGGAACTGTGCGTAAGAGGAGCGTTAAAACACACACACACCGCGGCCTAATTTTAACTCAGAATTCGACAGACTTTTCTCCCGGTTACACCAGTTACTGTCCATCTACGGTGACCTGTGGAGGTGTAAAGAACTCTCTCACCGTCCTCGATTATTGTTCATTATCGAACGTTGATAAACAATAATCGACAAAAGTCCCGAAAATGTTGTGGAGCACGTTTTTAATGTTTTGAAATATGAAGCTGTTGCCTTTCAGATCCGGTTTCAAGTGTGTTGGTGCTATGGGGCATGGAAACCATAAGCAACGAAATAACACACACACACACACACACACACACACACATTGAGTAAGAAAGTCCACAGAAGGTTAGTTTAGTTTCCTCCTCACACACATGGAGCAGCTCCTCATGTCCCTCAGAGCAACAAAAGTCTTTTTTCATAACCCCCCCTCCTCCCGCCA